CTTGAGGTGTGACTGACTGTACCCCTAACGCAACGCTGTGCTCTTGAGGTGTGACTGTACCCCTAACGCAGCGCTGTGCTCTTGAGGTGTGACTGACTGTACCCCTAACGCAACACTGTGCTCTTGAGGTGTGACTGTACCCCTAATGCAGCACTGTGTTCTTGAGGTTTGACTGTGACTGTACCCCTAACGCAGCGCTGTGCTCTTGAGGTGTGACTGTACCCCTAACACAGCGCTGTGCTCTTGAGGTGTGACTGTACCCCTAACACAGCGCTGTGCTCTTGATGAATATAGTTCTTAAACTGTAGAGATGTATTGTTGTCCTGAAGTGTTATCATTTTGATTTCGTGGCTCAGTGGTGCTTCAGAGTTGTGCTCCTGTGACCCCGCCCCTGTGCCACCGCAGGTCCAGACCCGTGATCAGGGTAGAGGCCACTGTGACCTTCAGCCCGAAAATAATCAAGCAGGAGAATGAGAACTGCCAGAGCCGAAAGCAGTTCAAAGCCCACGTCTGCTTCACGCTGACCAAGGTCACCAAAGACAGCAATGGTAGGGTCTTTTAATAATAATAATAATAATAATAATTCCTCACACTTATATAGCACTTTTCTGGACACTCCACTCAGAGCTCTTTACAGATAATGGGGTCTCCCCTCCACCCCCACCAGTGTGTCCCCCCACCTGGATGATGCACCAGTACACTCACCACACACCAGCTCTCAGTGTGGAGGAGAGCAGAGTGATGAAGCCAGTTCAGAGAGGGGGGTTATTAGGAGGCCATGAGGAGTAAAGGCCAGGGGGGAAATTTGGCCAGGAGACCGGGGTGACACCCCTACTCTTCTCAAGAAACACCCTGGGATTGTTAATGAGCACAGAGAGTCAGGACCTCGGTTTTACGTCTCATCCGAAGGACAGCGCCTGTTTACAGTCTACTGTCCCCGTCACTATACTGGGGCATTAGGGACCCACACAGACCGCAGGGTGAGCGCCCCCTGCTGGCCCCACTCACACCTCTCCCAGGAGTCTCCCCTCCAGGTACTGGCCAGGCTCCCCCTGCTGGGCTCCAGTGGGCTGGGAGCTGGGAGAGAGCGCCCCCTGCTGGGCTCCAGTGGGCTGGGAGCTGGGAGAGAGCGCCCCCTGCTGGGCTCCAGTGGGCTGGGAGCTGGGTGAGAGCGCCCCCTGCTGGGCTCCAGCGGGCTGCCAGGTGTGAGTTGCTCACCAGTCACCTTTCCCTGTTGTATCAGTATCATTTGTGTGATACTACAAACAGGAAAAGTGACTGGTGGCCATCTTGATCAACACGATACAATTACTCCACTCGGGGGAAACACTGCAGGGATTTTAGAGAAACAAAAAAAGGGTTAAGTATCATTCACACTTCATTCATATCACATACTCACTCTCAAACATACCAGAAGGGTGGAGTATTTCATACTGGTGGGTGTTTGCATTCTGAGTTTGAGTGGTTTATATAGACATGTGCTTCCTACAGACATCCAGTCCACCATCAGCTACAACCTCACCCTGGATAAGACACGCACACGTTTCCGGGCGTACTTCACCCCCAAGAACCGCATGGCCAACAGTTCATTCACTGCCCGCCTGCGGACTAATTGCCAGGATCACACCTTTTATGTTCCTGTAAGTGTCTCCTTAGATACGTTGTCTCTTAAGTCTAAATAAATCATAATTAATCTGTGAGAGGAGTGTCTCTGAGCTCTGGGGT